CTGGAAGAAGGAGTATGTGGGAGTTCCAGACAATGGTCTGTCGTACATGATTGCTCATCGTGAAGGTGTTTTTCCACATGGAGAACAAAGACTGAAAAGAATGAGGACTTAGCATCATTAACTCGATAGTCAGTTATTGCTGTCAAGTGCCATCAAGTCAACTACAACATACAGTGACCATGTACAACAGAATGAAACACTACCCAATCCTGTGTCAGCCTCACAATCACTGCTATCCTTGAATTCCTTAGCAAACGAAGATAAAAGAACTTTGTAAAATCTACTAAGTAATTTTAAAATCTTTTTAAAACTATTAACACCTCAGGATACCAAGAAATAGGCTAACAATCATTCCATTTTTTTTTCTTCATTAAGGCATGTACATAAATTTATGTTAGACTGAGAAGTAATAGAAATCCTAAAGAGAACCATATCTCTTCTTTTACAGGAAAGCATGAGTGCCCCCAAAGAATGAGGTATTATTTGTAGGAGACCGTCTGGTGGGGCAGACAGAAAGTGGTCTAATGGCCTAATTTAAGCCTTAATCTTTCCACTAAATTATCTAGATATTCATCTCAATGGTGACAATGAAATTGCGTTTTGCAGGTTATCCTGTAGAATAATAAAGAGAAGCAAATGACATATCAAATGATTCACTGGGAATAATTGCATTTTCTGCTTTTGGGTAGAGATACTTTGAACTAATTTCATTAAGTTATCAATCTAACCTTCCCTTTAAAATGTATAGCAAGAAGAGCTGTGAGTTGAATGGACTAGTCCTTCTCAAATCTAATTTACATTATCTTCCTCACACATCAGATAATCTCTTTAAATAGCAGTTTTCCCTATTCCTTTCTCTTTTCTTGTCTCTCTAGTTAGGTCTAAACTGATTAAAAGACTTTGTGTTTTCTAAATCTCCCATGCTGAATAATATGGGCACATAATCTCAAATTATCAGGTGTGATATTTTATATTCTCTTAGTAATTTAATCACAAAAACTGGATTGCTAGAACTTTTATTGTTCATGTCGTATGATAACTTGGAAACTAGATGTGTCTCAAGAGGTGGAAGTCATTCCCATTCTTCATCCTCATTCCTATTCTCTGAGAACTTTCTCACTTCTCCCCTGCCTCCTTGCTGGCTTTAAGTTAAGAATGTGTGTGTGTGTGTGTGTGTGTGTGTGTGTGTGTGTGTGTGAAGTGAGGAAGCTTTGGTGGCCAAGTGGATAGGGAGCCATGTTTCTAACCCAAAGGCTTGTGGGTCTGTCTAATCCACCAGCTGATCCACAAAAGAGAGAGATGGACAGTCTTTTCTCATGTGATTCACAGACTTTGAAAACCTGCGGGAGGGTCAGATACAGACTCTAACTCTATGGCAGTGAGGGAGATGGAGAAGAGAGAGAGAGAGAGAGAGAGAGAGAGAGAGAAGTGACCTGAAAGCAATCTATGCTTTACATGTCCTATTAGCAAGGCTATTGATATTTGTGAAAGTCTGCAGCAACCATTAGGGAGGCTTTGAGTGGCATAAATAGAAAAGAGCTCAGCTACCAACCAGAAGGTTGATAGTTCAAACCCATTGACATCCAAACCCATAAACACCTTGGTTGAAAGACTTGACAGTCTACCCCAAAGAGTCACAGTCATTGAAAACTCTATGGAATCCATTGTTATTTTGAAACATAAGGGATCAACATGAGTCAAAATCAACTAGAAAATAGCTGGTTTGGTTTTAAAGCAGCATCAGGAAAATATCTGGTAATGACAGAGTATCATGGATGGTGACAAAGAAAGAAAAGGATGTTTTAAAACTGAATACATTAAGGTGGCCTGAATTTACCAAGAGACTTAGTTATTTTTGGTTTGAGATATAAAACTGCACTTTCCTCCACTGTTTATTAGACTTGAAATTCCAAATTTTCTGTTTAATGATGGTAATCCAAATTTGGTGGTCATTTAAATAGTGTCTGGAGAATTATACTTGCATTTTCTTCACTGTTAAGTATAAATATTTCTATTACAAGGAGGGCCTGTATTGTAGAATGTTTTGTAATGCTTGGTAACATTTTTGAAGGAAAAGATTTGTTTGATCATCACCATAAAAAGACTCAACTGTGGTTTATATGCTTTATAAATCTCATTACTGTACTTGAAGATGGTTTCATGATGGTTCTTTAAGAATTTCCTTTAAAGTGGTTTTTGTATAAACTCAACCTTTAGTATATAACTGTGTAACACTTCACCAGTTTCAAGAAGTATTTCTTTGTATATTATTTTGAATACCAAGAAATTGAATGATAATATTTTTAAAACTGAGAAATGCACATACCCTTCATGGGAGTCATTCAATTGTTTCATCTTTTTTATTATATAATGAGAATACTTTGTCATCAACCATAGACCCTCTCCCCTGAAATTCCTTAGCAATGCTTGGAAATTTGCTTGTCTTTATAGCTTGTCTGCTGTTTGTTGAAATAGCAGTCAGCCTGTATATCACTCTTTCAGTATTTCACGTGTGGTTACTCTTGACAGATTCATGGCACACAAATCTGATTGTTGGTTTTAGATTTCATGCCTCATTGAGCCTTTAGTCATTTGATCTTAAAAGTTGTGATAAGCTTTTGGAGGTTATACAATTTCATTCTTAAATCAGTAAACCAATACAAAAAGTCCCAACTTAATAATAACAGAGAAAGTTTTGCATAAAGTGTTAGCTTTGATTCCCTACCCAATTCCAAAATGGGTAATTTGCTTCTTTCTGACTTGAGTATTGATTTTATTTTCTTTTGACGATCTTGCTTTGAAGAAGCTGTATCATATGCAATATTAAGGTACATTCTGGGCCTATTTTCAAAATTCATGTGGAAAACAAACATTGATTCATAAGGATGGTGTTTTAAAATCTATCTTGAAGTTTCAATTTTAAAAGATTACATAAACAGAAAAAGCAAATATTGAACCCTTTGTTTTTAAAAATGAATGTAAATGTATTATAATGACTTGTAACATTAGGTTTGGCCTCTCAACAATATATAATCCTAATTTTAATTCTATCAAAGTTATTGTTGTTATCTGCCATCAAGTTACCTGTGACTCATGATGACCCTATCTACAACATCCCTTAACCCTGCTCTATACCTTGCCAATCTTAATGACACACCTGTCCCCATTACCCCAGTCACTGAATCAATCCATCTCATCAAGGTCTTCTTCTCTTGTACTCCGTTTCCTTACAACATGTCCAAAGTATGTCAGACGAAGCTTCAGAATCCTTGCCTTCAAGGATCAGCCTGGTATCTTCCTCTGTAGTATGAACATGTTTGTTCTTCTAGCAGTGCATGTTATTATATTCAATACTCTTCTCCAGCACCACAGCTCAAAGGCATCAGTTGTGTCAACAGGCATTTTCTATTTTAGCCTCATATTTATATAGTCTATATACTGAGAATATAATGGAAAAACATCTTTAATTATTAAATATTAATGTATAAAATGTTCATTTCCTCTTAGCTTTAAAATTATATATACTGAACAAAGTTTGACCCACCAGTGAATTTCCACAGCTGTAAATGACACCGGAGGAGGTTGCCCATTTTTCCTGTTGAAGCATCTGGTGGTTTCAAACTGCTTGCCTTTGGGTTGCTAGCATTCCTTACCATGAGGACAGCAAAGCTCCAGTAGAAATAATTACTTTATAACTTTGTAACATATAAGACAAGGATGCAAATGGTACAACAGCACTCTGACAGCAGCAACCAAAAAAAGAAAAAGAAAAAAATGGGACCACTAAATGCATACCAATAGAAAATGGAGAAAGTGGCATTTTATGGTTGGCTGGAAGGTTTCAGGGTTGCCATATCACTGCATTATATAACACATTATGTGTTTCTTTAAAAGATGTGAGTAGATAAAAATGATGGTTTGGGAAAATGATTATTGCCATTACTGTCATCATAACTGTCAGTACAATATAACATTAAACACTTTACATATGTTATCTGTTTCATTCTTATTATTACCTCAATTTTGAAGCTGGTATTATCGCTATATCTATTCTGCAAATGAAGAGGGCCTAGTGACTTGACAAGCATGCAGCTAGAAAGTGGTAAAATAGAAATTCAGAATTGGATCAAAATTGCAGAATTCTCAAAGTTTTTTTTCTTTTATATTTTTCTGGCTGACTTTCTTCTCTTCTGCCCCAGCATGGTGGGCAATATATTTGTTCTGTTGCTCATATTTTCATTTGTTAATTGACTGTAGGGCAATGACATCAGACAGGCAGTTTGGCAGAAAGTGTGCTGCATTCAGAACTAAAATTTCTGTCCTTGCCACTCACAAGAAGATCAGCAACTAGTAAATTTAAATGTGATTTGAATTGATTTTTAAAAAAATATTTGCCGCTATTTACCAAAATAATTAAGTTTAGGTATTACAGTACAATATTACTAAAGTTGAAGCTATGTACTATAATAATGACACTCTCAGCACGAAAAGTCTAAAAAACAGAAAATCTGTACTCTTCATAAGATTGGGTCAATAGGAAGTTTTTCCCAGTTCTCTGGAATTTTTTGCCATCTTAAAATTTGTTACCAGTGAGTTGATTCTAACCCATGGTGATCCCATGTTTGCAGAGTTGAACTGCTCCATAGCATTTTCAAGGCTGTGACCTTTGGACAGGAGATTTCTTGGCCTTCTTGTAAAGTGTAAACCACCAATGTTTAGGCTAGCAGTTTATTGTCTAACCATATGTATTACCTAGTATTTCTTTTTAATATCTTCAATATTTATGCTACACCCAATGGATGAAAATACGGGGGAATAAAAGCAGACCACAGATGTATAAAAGATGAAAACTTTTGCCTAGAAACTTCCAAGATTTTGAAACAGAGAGTTGTTTTGAATTTAACTTCTTTCAGAAATGCTATGAGTCACCTCGATTTTTTAGTGCAAAAGTCCAATTTGACTTGTTCCCTAACCTGCCTTTCCTTTGTTTGGTATCTCAGTCTTCAGGAACCAGTATTACTGTGGATATTGCTGTGATGGGCGAGGCCCACGGCCTTATTACGGACCTTCTGGCAGACCCTTCCCTGCCCCCAAACGTGTGCACATCCTTGAGGGCAGTGAGCAATCTGCTGAGCACACAGCTCACCTTCCAGGCCTTTCACAAGCCCAGAGTTAACCCCATCATTTCCTTCAGTGAAAACTATACCTGCTCTGACTCTGAAGAAAGCGCTGAAAAAGACAAGCTGACTATTCCCAAGGTAGGTGTTGATAATGCTCTGTAAACAGTTGACCTTTTTTTTTCTTTTTAATTGATTGTCTTCTAGCTCTTTCTTCCTGTCATCTCAGAGTTGTTTAACTAGCTATGTAAGTTACTCAGTAGGCTGAGCATGGTGACAAAAGTAAAATTATCTAAGTCACAAGGACACAAGGATTATGTCCTTTTACTTGATCACCTTCTATAAACAGAAAAATCAAAATCAAATCCACGACCATCAGATCAATTCTGACTCAAGCATTTTATCTGGTTTCTGAAGGAATAAATCTTTATGGAGGTACACTGCCCATCTCTCTCTCACAGAGTACCAGGTAGATTTGACATGCCAGTCAATAGATTAGAATTCATTACATACTATACCTCCAAGTCCTCACTGTCTGTATTATCCAAACTTTCAAAATTACTATTGATTGCCATCCAAATGCCAAGCCTTGTCCCAGGTGCTAGATACAGTAAGGCATTGTAGTGAAAAACAGGCCGAAAACAAACAAAGCACAATCTTATTTTCATTCTGGGATGGCTTATCTTGCTTCTGCTTTCTGTAACGCATGGTTCCTTTGCTCTTTGATTTCTTTCTATGATATTTTTTAATCAAAGTTTCCAAACTAACCCAGTACTTAGTCATTATAGATTTCGCTAAATTTTTTAATATTTGAAGTGAAAGATGACCATATGTGCGGGATGTAAATGTTTTCCAGAAGTAAATTGTAGGGTCAGTTTTTCTAGTGACAAATCTGAGGATGCACAACCATACCTCTTTCAGACCTCATTTATTAAAACAAGTCATATATAAAACTTTTCAAAATATGAATGTAAGTTTCTGATACATCCAGTCGACAAGCCATTATCTCCTTAAACTGGTGTTATGGCTATTTTGAGACTCTTGGAATATGAGTTAGTACTGTAAAGTAGGTGTTTACATAGTTCCCTTCTAGCATCATATTCTCTGGAAATGTTATACTTAAATAGCTTATGATAGTAAATAATGAAGAAAGTGATCAAGAGATTTTTTTATTAGGTCAAGATGTAAGATCCATATCTAATTCAGGACAGAAATACTGGTATCTTCCAATTTTTGACCACTTCCTCCTACTGAGATACATTCTGACATGCGTACTATGACAATATCCAATTTGATCTTTAATCTCAATATGGCATATACACCACCTCTCAAATATTTTGTAATTTTCTGAAGAAGAGAATGTGTTCCTGGAGATAAAGGCTGTATTCAAGCCTCGAGTTGCAATACTTAAGAATGCTGTGGGCAGAATGTTGAATATCCCTGAAGCATCAAAAGAGGATAGAGTCACTACACTCAAAAGAACTGGCTGACACAGGAAAGAATTTCATGAAACAACATATGACCAAGGGGTAATGGTGATAAAGGAGGAAGTTCAAGCTGTTCTGAAGGAATTGGCAAAAAAAAAGGCCCCAAGAATTGATGACACACCAATTCGCATATTTCAATAAACAGGTGCTGCCTTGGACATGCTCATCAAGTTGTGGCAAAAAATCTGGAGGGCAACTGACTGGCCAACTGACTGGAAGAAATCCATATTTACTCAGATTTAAAAAAAAAAAGGTGATCGATAAATATGGAAATTATTTAACATTATCATTAATATCCCATGCAAGCAAGATCCTGCTGAAAATTATCAAAAAAACCTTCTGTGACAGTATATCAACAGAGAACTGCCAAATGTACAAGCTTCGTTTAGAAGAGGCCGTAGCACTAGGCACATTATACCCAATGTTAGCTGGATCTTACCTGAAAGCAGAGAGTACCAGAGGAATGTCTATATTTCATGGACTATACAAGAGATTTGTCTATGTGGATCACCACAAATTTTGGCTGTGAGAAGAATGAGAATCCCAGAATACTTATCTATGCTCATACAAAACTTATGCTTGGAACAGGAAGCCATCATCAGAACAGAGCAAGGAAACCCTGTATGGTCCAAAATCAGGGAAAGTATACATCATAGATGCATCCTATCTCCATACATTTTTAGTCTGTATGTGGAACAGATCATTCAGGAGGTTAGACTTTATAGAAGGAATGTGGCATTAAGATTAGAGGAAGACTCATCAAAAACTTGCATTACACATTTGACACAACCTTGCTTGCTGAAACTGAGGAGGAGCTGAGGCGTTTGCTGCAAAATCGCAAGGACTGCAGTCTCCAACATGGATTAAAGCTCAGCATTAAGAACACAGAGATTCTCACAACTGAGCCAATTGGCAGCATCATGATAGATGGAGAAGAGATTGAAATTGTTAGCAATTTCAGCTTGTTTGGTTCCACAGTCAACACTCTTGAGCAACAACAGTCAAGAAATCAAAAGACAAATTGCACTGGGAAAATCTGTTGTCAGAAACGTTTCCAGAGTGCTGAAGAGGAAATCATGTTAGTCTAGAGACTGACATGCACCTGATCCAAGTCATAGCCTTCACAATTACTTGCTGTACATTGGAGAGCTGGGTAATGACTAAGGATGACAGAAAAGAATTGATGCCTTTGCGTTGTGGTGCTGGAAAAGCATATTGACCATACCTTGGACTGCCAAGAGAACAGATTTGACCTGGAGAGAGTGAAACCAAGCTGCTCTTGGAGGCAAGAATTTTGAATCTCTGTCTCACATATTTTGGGCATGTTGCCAGAGGTGACAGTCCTTTGAGAAGGCCATCATGCTTCAAAGTGTAGAGGGACAGTGCAAGAGAGGAAGACCTGGAAGAGATGGATTGACTCAATGACTGGGGTAATGGGAGTAGGTATGTCAGAGATAATGAAATTGGCTCGAGATAGGACATCCAGAATCTAGTCTTGGTGCTGCTGTTGACACCAAAGACCCTGTTTAGCAAATGGTAGGAGAAAAAAAAATTAATAAAAAGGAGAAGAGATAACTAATTCACTCTTATATTAAGCAGATATAAGATTTAGTATTGGTTGTGCTACTATATCCTTTGATGTCTGAATCAGATTTATCCAAAGTAAAGGGGAGTATTTTATAAAAACACTCTAGTTTTGCATTAGTTTTTGTTTTGTTGTTAGGTGCCATTGAATCAATTTCTACTCATAGAAATCGTGTTGTAATGTGCTGTCCATCAGAAGTGGGCTATAGTTGGTCTCTCCAGCAGGTTTTTAGAGTCAGTAAATCACATGGGAGCAAATGGTTCATCTTTCTCCCTTGAAGCAAGTGGTGAATTAGAATTATGTGCTTTTGTGTTGGCAATACAACTTTTACCACTAAGCTCTCAGGGCACTATAACAACCTTAGATGCAACAGAACAAAGCACTGCCCATTCCTATGCTATTCTCACAATGAATGCCATGTATTGACTCCATTGTTGCAGCCACAGTGATAATCAGTGTTGTTGAGAGTCATCTCATTTGCTCACCCTGCCTTTACCAAGCATGTTCTCCAGCAACATATCCTTCTCAATAACAAGTCCAAAGCATGTTAGATGAAGTCTTGCCATCTTCATTTACCAAGATCATTCTGATTGCACTTGTCTCAAAATGAATTTGTCATATTCTTTTTTTCAGTCAATAATAAATTCACTGTTCTTGCCAACACAACAGGTCAAGAGAATTAATTCTCTTTTGGTCATCCTTCTTCACTGTTCGACTTTCACATGCATAAGAGGCAATTAAAACTGGCTTGGATCAAAATCACCTTAGTCCTCACTCACCTCCTTGCTCTCTAGAACTTTAAAGAGGCCTTTTGCAGCATGTTTTCCAGTTCTAATAATCCTTTGATTTCTTGACTACTTGCTCCATGGGCCTTGATGTGCATCTAAGTAAAATACAATCCTTGAAAACTTCACTCTTTTCCCCATAATACTGTTTATTGATCCAATTGTGAGAATTTTGCTTTCTTCTGTACTGAAAATACGTCATATTAAGCTGGTATAACAATAAAGCTATACTTGTTTTTATGTGCTGTTAAGGCAATTACAACTCATAGCAACTTTATGAACAATAACTCTGAACCTTGTCCTATCCTGAGCCAACCTCCCCATCTCTGGCACACTTGAGCCCTTTGCCACAGCCTCTTTTTCAATCTGTCTAAGATTTTCCTTTCTTGTGCTGCCCTTTTATCTGTCCAAGCATGATGTCCTTCTCCTAGGAATGGCCCCTCCCAATTACATGCCCAAAGTCTGTAAGACAGTAAATAAATTTCACCATCCTTGCTTCCAAGGAGCACGCTGGTTTCACTTCTCCAGCGCAAATATGTTTGTTCTCTTAGCAGTCCATGATATATTCAGTACTCCTCTCCAGAACCACAATTCAAAGGCATCAGTTCTTGTCATCCTTAGTCACTGCCCAGCTTTCATATGCATAGCAAGCAATTGAGAAGACCGTGGCTTGATCAGGCACACCTTAGCCTTTAGACTGGCTTTCTTGCTCTTTAGAACTCTGGAGAGTTACTTGACAGTAGATTTTCTCAGTGCAACTCATCTTTTTGATTCCTAACTGCTGATGCCAAATATATTGATTGTGGATCTTTCATCTCGATATTGTGCTTCCCATAGGTTTAGTGGTGAGGATTTTTCTGTTATTGATAATGATATTTCATCCATGTTGAAAGCTGTAGTCTTTAAGCACTTCAAATCCTCCTCATTTTAAACAAGCAAAGATGTATAATGCATTATGAGGTTGTTGATGGATTTTCCTCTCTTCCTAATAACACAATCTTCAGTAAAGTCCAGGTTCTTGAATGAACTGTTCATACTGAAAAAGTATGGAGAGAAAAAAAAAATACATCCTTGATACACTCCTTTCTTGATTTTGAACCATGAATTGTTCCCTTGCTCTGTTCAAACAAAAGCTTCTTTGTCTAGATATAGGGTTCACATGAGCATAATCAAGTGTTCTGGGATTTCCATTCTTATCAATATCAGCCTTAATTAATTGTGTTCCACAGGGTCAAATGCCTTTGAATAATTGATAAAATACAAATAGACATCCTTCTGGTAGTCTCTGCTTTCAGCCATTCTTTATTTGACATCAACAGTGATATTCATAGTGTCATGGCCTCTACCAGAGCTAAGGGAATTGAAATTCATTCTTGTAATTAATAAGTATTGAAGCTGAGACTACACCACATTTTCATTTTACCAATAGCCATCTCTTTTATTCTGAGTTTATTAAATATCTAAGTACTCAGATTTCACTTTGGCAATATTCAATCAAGATATTTAAAGAAATTAACTTTTAATTGAAAGCCGATTTCCTATCATTTTATCTAGAAGTTTGTTGTTGTTGTTGATATGTACTGTAGAGTTGACACCAACTTACAGGTGAACCTCCAGCAGGTTTTCAAAGGCAGTTAATTGCACAGGAGGAGATTGCCCATCCTTCTCCCATGTAGCTGGTGACCTCAAACCACATGTCTTGCATGCAGTGCAGCTTGTTGCCACTTGGCCACAAGAGCTCCCTAGTGGTTAGAGAAATAAAATATGATTGGTAATAAAATCTACTTCTCTTCTTCCTAGCGCCTGAGAAGGAGTTTGCCTCCAGGATTATTGAGACGTGTTTCATCTACTTGGACAACCACCACCTCAGCCACTGGCCTGCCTACATTGGAGCCTGCACCAGTTCGGAGGGACCGTAGTGCCAGCATCAAGTTACATGAAACACCTCTGTCCAGGTAAGACATTGCTCTTGTTGGCCTCTTGTGTCTTAGGGATATTACTTACCAAAACAGATTTTTAACTTGTAGATGAGGAATATGAAGATTTGCTTAGAGTTCAGATTCAAGGGTGGAAAAGTTTTTTATTACTTAAATTTATAGTGGTATAGCAATTAAGATCATAATTAGACCTAAGTTCTGTTGTTTAGTTCTAAGTGTAAGCAGATTAGCTTGAGGTCATTTCTTGCACTATGACCTGGGTTGATGAATATTGAGCCCTGAATGAAGGCAGGTTACATTTTTACCTAGATCAGACAATTGAGGTCCATATGGACTCAATAAGGTCCCTTTAATTCAAAGAAATACAACTTGACACTTAAAATTGATTTAGATTGTGAAAAACAATGTATTCAGACTTTGTAGATAAATCAGAGTAATATAAAAAAAATAATTTTTTTTTTATATAAAAAGATTAATTTAGATTCCCCAAAGCCAGAATTGCTGCCCCACCATTTTTGGGCTGAGGCAAAAGTGCAGATCAAAAAGTATATTATCATCTTAAAATCATCTCCTATTGCTTTCAGTCAATTCTGAATCTTGGTGACCCTGTAGTACAGAGTAGAACTGTCCCAGAAGGTTTTCATGGCGGTAAATCTTTATGAAACAGACTGCCACATTTCACTCCCTCTGACTATCTGATGGATTCAAACTGCCAGCCTGTCAGCTGCTGAGCGCTTAACCATTGTACCACCATGGTGCATAAGATTACCTAGACATGTTCAGACATTTGGTAATTTAATTTTCTTTAGTACAATATTTCTTAGTACAAAATTTTCTTTAGTGGCATAATCCATAGGGAGTTGTGCTAACTCAAGGATGGTGCCTTTATAGCAATTCAAATTCACTAGCTGCTCCACAGGACAAGAATGGACAGTCTCCTACCATGGTCTTTACAGCCTCTGAAAATCACTTGAGGGCCAGCTAGCTAAGAGTCAGTTCCTACTCTATGGTAAAGCGTTAGCTTAGATAATAATTACAGTGTTGGAATATTACTGGAAAGCCAGAATTACCAAAACTAAAAAAAAAAAAAACCAAACCAACAAAACCCCAAAAAGAGAACATTAAGAAGTTTGAAGGAACCCCTAATGAAAGGTGTTTGTTTAGTAGAGTGATATTGTATTTGGAGATAAAGTGGTATGTCTTGGAGAGAATGCAGCCAGAATGCTCTTGGAAGCCAAGAACAATGAAGCTTTGTCTCACATACTATTGGGCTGGTTGCTAGGAGGGGCTATTCCTTGGAGAAGGACATGATGCTGGGAAGGATGGAAGGTGGGTGAAGGAGGGGGAGACCTTCGACCAGATGGATTGACGTGGTGACTGCCACAGTGGGCTCTTGTGTGTCTGGAAGTGTCAGAATGGCACAAGATAGAACAGAATTAAGATAATTTTCATAGACTCGCTATGTGTCATACTTGATCCAGCACCTAATAACAACTGTATTTGGTATTATTCTAGTGGGGAAAAAAGGATGACATATGTAAATTCAGTAATTATGCAAATATTTCTTTGTTCCTAGGGAGCTGTAGTAACCTCATAGGTAAGGAGTTGCAAGGCCAACTCAAAGACTGGTGGCACATAACTACCAGCTGCTCTTTAGAAGAAATAAAAGCAATCTTCCCTCATGCAATTGACAGCCTCTGAAAACCAACTGGGTGGTCAGCTGTTAAGTCACTTCCAACTCAGTAGCAATGCATTTGAAGATTTTTAATTTTAAAACATATACCACAGTTCCATTAATGATCAATGAAAACATCCATATCTTTGGGTGAATAACACGGCAGCACCATCAGAAGAAATTTTCTCCTAATCTTGTCTCTATTGAGTCTGGCAGAGAAAAGATTCTCGAACTCATTGAAAGATGCTCACTACTCCTTTTAAATACAATGTATTCAAGTTTTGTAAATAAACTAATAGAAAATTCAAAAAAATTTTCATTGGCTTCTTCCAAATTAATGTTCATAGTCTAATAAATATGTAGAGTCAGTTATAAACTAGAATAATTCTTGCAATTACATTCTACCTTACCTAATGTGGGGTTCTAGGGCATCATCCATGGAGAAGTGTGCTGCTGACCTTCTCTGGCAATTCTAAGGCACTAGTGACTCCAGAAAGACGGGCAGTCTCCTGCCTTGTGATTTACAGCCTTGGAAACCTAATGAAGGATCAGCTCTAAGTTGTTTCTGACTCAACAATGTTAAGAGTTTTTATTTACCTAGACATAGTTGCAATACGTGGGATGCCACGTGGGTTGGGTATACCCAATCTCCTTAATAAATATGTCCTGAAGTTTGAAATAACACTTTTATTTATGGTTTCCTGGAAAGTACTGATACCTTTGTTAATTTGTATAGCAGTAAATACTACATATCTCTAGTAGTATAATTGTTAAATATGTGTTGCTTAAGCACATGAATTATGTTCTTAGTGTGGACTATATATCGGGCTGTCATTTTACTAGCTTATTTTACCAAATTCCCCAAAGTCCTATAATTAGTACTCTGTAGTTTTTCATTTTATAGCATGGCTCTGCCACAACTGTTTAGACCTTGTTGGGTACCGTCTTACTTTGTATTCTACTTTGTTACTTCTGGAAAAGCCTATGTCCTCTTATTCCTCATATTCAGAATAGAGACTGAGATCAAATCCTTAAGGAGAAATAGTGTTTTAAGGATTTTTATGAGCGTAATCTGCAAAGTTCTAGTCACTCTGCTTATAAAATTAATACCCACATAATTAAAAAGAGACAAGACATAGTGTGTGATCTCAAAGAATATATCTCTTATATAATATTCATAGATAAGTTTTGGCACATACATCCCAACCATAACATCCGATGTTATTAATTTTTTAAATTTTATTAATTGTAATGAACGTTAACAAAAATTTTGGATTTCCATTCATTCATTGTTGCACTTTTCTCCCTGCCCAGCCCCCCCCCCCGCCTCCGCCCCCCAGTTTGCCCCTAATTTATTTTTATCATGTTTCTTTCACTAAATTTTTGTTACTTTGGTATATTAGTAGATAAATTAGCTGAGAAAAATCAAGAAATATGTAAATGTTGTATATGATAAATATCACATTTCAAAATATTATAAGAGGGAAAGATAGACGTCTTATGGAGAAATAGGACAGATTTTTGTCTTCATCTTCTGCTGCATGCCTTCCATATTAAAAGTTAAATTGTAAGAATAGGAGAAAAATATGGCCTCTAATTTCTCCATTGTCATCTGCACATATGTCATAAATAGGAGTCCCTTTTTTTGTTTCCA